TTAAAACCGTATTTAAAGGTTTGTAATTTATAACAAGGCGAGGGATTCCTTTCTCTTGTTCTGCATGGTTATTAACATAGAAAGCTGTGTAACTCCAAGGAGAATATGATTTCCTTATAAGTTTCCTTTCAAGTAAGGAAGTTAATTTTTTTTTTACAAAGATCAAGATATTCTTGATTTATTTGACATGGTCTAGATTTGGTAGGAATATCATTTTCTTTGAAATTATCTTCATAAGGTAGAGAAACAATATGTTGTTTTCTATCCCAGAAGGCATTAGGGATGTTACTGCGGACTGTTTTATTAAAATGATCTTCTATTTGAGTTATTAACTCTTTTTTCTTTTTTATCTGTTCCTCTATTTGAACAAATGCTACTTCTTCTTTAAGAAAATTTATCTGTTTTTCTTTAAGGAGAACATTTTTGATTTCGTTTAATAAACGAGTTTGGGGATCAGTTATAAACTCAAATAAGATTTTCTTAGCATTATATCTAGTTTGGATTCCTTGTGAATCAATTTTCTGCATAGGCATTATATTGTGCAGAAATTGGGTACCCAATATGATGTGTTGTGATAAGTTTTTCACAAGTACGCAAGGAATTGGGATACATGTGTCTTGTACACAAATATGTGCAAAAGGTAATTTAAAATTAACATCAAATTTATCACCATTTGCACTACTTAGAGTTTGTGTAGTAGTTTCAAAGAATTTTGAAGGTACAATGTCTTCACGAATGTAGTTAAGATCTGCACCGCTATCAATCAAAACTATAAGGTCTGGTATAAACACTTGCTATGCTATGACTAAGGTTACCTTGATGTACCATTTTTGAGATGTCACCTGTTATAATATATTCAGAAATTCATTCTTTTGGGCTGATTCTGGAATATCATGATCTCTATTAGAGATTCAATTAAACTAATCTAATATTTTCTAACCTAGAATCATGCTCTGATACCAAAAATAATGTGAAACAATGTGTATGCAGGTATGAAGAACAGCGACAGCAATGCTTCACCAAATCAACGATCGATCTAGGCAGAAAACTCGAGAAGAAAGTGAAGCTCTAGATGGCTTTTAAACAAAAGTTACAAATGTATTTACGGCCTTGTAAATTACTCAGAAAATAAATATAATGATTTGTTCTCGTAAATAAAGTTTGACTTGTAATATTTAGATCAGTAAATATTCGCAGCAACAGAATCACTCGCTCACTAATCAAACAGAAGTTACAAAATATAGCACAATCGCAATTGATAATAAAATTGATAATAACATGCACACGAAAGCAGTTCCTAAAATACTGTGTCGAAAGAAAACGAAACATTCGTCGATCTGAATTGGTTCGACGTGAGGGACCTCTGGAGACGGTGTGACGACGCCGAATATAAGGGGAGGGAGTTCTCCTCCGAGAGCTACGTAACTGGAATGAAGCGGCATGTCCTGGTGGAAACGTCTGTGCCACGAACTAATACCCAAACGACTCTCCACGCTATCAACAATCTAAGTCACGCGCTCAATATATCCGAATGGGGTATCGAAAAGTTGGTAGTCGAACCACTGAGAGAGCTGCAAATCGATCACACCGGTCTCTGGGTCATACACGAACTGGGCGTCTTCGACGGCAGGATCGGTCATACACCAATGAGCTGCGGTATAAGAACTCAAATCGGTGACAAACGAGACGGAGGTCTGACGACGATGAGGTGACGACACGCAAAGACTGGATGCGCGGGTGATCGGAGGACGCGAGCGGCGTCGGAACTACTCAGAAGTGGAGGAGGGGTGGGGGTTTCGTGGGGCTGCTCAGCTGGGAGAAGGGCAGGAAGGTATCGAGGGTCTGTGGAAGGGAGAGGGATGTTGGCGGCTTTCGTTGGCGGTCGTAGGAGGGGTTTTGGGAGCGTCTGTTTGAGGTAGGTGGAGCATGGGAGGATTCTGTGGGCTGGAGACTGTAAGGGGATGCTGAGGGCAGGGACTAGTGCGGTTTGGAGAGGGAAAAGAGATGAGGAGTCGGCTAGAGAGGCAGTGGGCTTATGGAGGCAATGGCGGCTGATGCGAGAAACGAGAAGGCGGCGACTATTAGGTTGTGGTCGTGCCTGGTGGGAGAAGAGAGCCGGGAAGCAAGAGAAGGGATGAAGGCGATTGGGCGTCGGCTGCTTAGGGAGGGAAGGAGCTGCGTTGGCCGGTTGGTAGAGGAGAGATGAGGTTGGCGGCTGAAGAAGAGAAAACAGGGGGGTTTGTCGGCTGTTTGTAACAGAGGAGAAAAGTCAGCCCAGGGTTTCACACCCAATGCTTCACACCAAAAAAATATCCGAGATCAACCATAATTCATTCAATTCTTCAATAATTAAATATGATTACAGCAGCGTTTAAATAGAAAAGAAAAATACAAATTTGGAAGATTCCCGAAATCAATCAAATCTCTCACAATCAATCAGATATAAAAACTAAATAACTACCAAATCTAACCCACAATTCAAATTTTAAATTAACTACTAAACTGAAATAACTACTAACTAAAAATATCAAAACCACATAGACGGGATCCGATGCAAAGCTGAAACATGGCGTCTCCTGCGCTGATAAACATGTCAAAAATCTCGTGCACGTGCTTGGATATCCGAATCAATATATCTATGTATATGTATGTATATATATACATATATATACATATATCTACATATATGTATATATATACATATATATATATGTATATATAGAGAGAAAAATAGGTATGATTGGTACCAAGCATAAGTTTTGGTGTTTAGTAGTGAGGTGGCATATTCCCCTCCACTCATTGAAATCGAGACCCACATTCACATGGGTTGGGGAGTGGTTAGGACTTAGAATGAGTGGATGGGAATAGGACATCTCACTACCAAGCACAAAATTTATCCTTATCATAGGAGGAGATTTCCCTCCTTGTCGCCTATGTAACACAATCCCCATCATCCTCATAAAGTAGGCATAAATCCCCACCAACTCACACTCTCTCTTACTTTATGAGGATGGTGGGGATTGTGCCACATAGGCGTTAATGAGGAAATCCCCTCCTATAACAAGGATATCCATTTATATATATATATATACTATATATATATATATTATAATATATAGTAATATATATAATTATATATATATATAAAAATATGTGTGGTTGCTTGTGACTGTCGTTTGCGAATTGTTATGGGTCGGTGGTTGTGGGTGTGTGTGTGTGTGTATGTATATGCTATGTATATATATATTGAGCTAGACTCCTATCAAACTTAAGTTTGTATGTCAACCAAATTTCCTAACCACACATTTATTAATATAAAAATATGTTCATATCCATGCCAAGCGATCCCTTGGAATACGAGTGGCTAAAAAAGATGTTTGGATAGTCTTTGCTATCCACTTTACGTTGACTACAAGTTTATGCTATATATATATATATATATATATATATATATATAGAGAGAGAGAGAGAGAGAGAGAAATTTGTATGTTTGGTACCAAGCACAAATTTTGTGTTTGGTAGTAAGGTGACATAATCCCCTCCACTCATTCAAATAGAGGACCACATTCACATGGGTTGAGGGGTGCATGGGGATATGCAAACATTTGAATGGGTGGAGGGGATTATGCTACCTCACTACCAAGCATAATTTTTTTTTTTTTGGTACCAAGCATACCCATTTTTCTCATATGTATATATTTATATATATACAGATACATATATATGGTTACTAAAATATCCATATCCGTATGCATTAGGGTATAGATATGGTTACTAAAATCTAAAACCGATACGATATGGTTACGGATATGGTTATACAATGAAATATCTGGATCCATATCTGAAATATTCACATCCACGGATATATCCGTAGTTGTAGCCATTATGATAGAGATATGGTTACTAAAATATATAACCGATGGGATATGGTTACGGATAGTCATGTAATGAAATATATGGATCCGTATCCGAAATATCCGAATATATGTTGATCATATAATTGTAATTGTCTTACACTCATTTTGATGATTTATTTGAAATTTCTGAAATATTTGAAATATCTGAATTAATGGATTTGAGACTCATTTTGATGAGCTAGAGATCCAATCTTAGCTTTCAGACAAGACTAACACATTAATGAACTTTCTTGTATCAAACGAACTATATTTTCTTCCGATATTATCTAGTTTTCACACAACTGCATGTATGTTTGCATACATATCCCCATGTATATCCATATCTATATCTGATTTTAGCGTATATGGATGAGTTTTCCTTACCAAAGCACATCCGCATACGTATCCTTATCCATGATTGGTATCCATGATCAGTAACAGGATACGGATTTGATAAAATTCGTATCCGACCCGTATCCAAACCATGTGCACCCTTACTTGGCTTCTTAGGTCCAAATTACTTTTGCATATACAATACAACTCCCTTTAACATAAAATTAAGAAACATTTATATGAGTTTTGCAGCCTTCAGTGTAATAAACTACAGTTCATCACAATGTTCATAAATTATCATTTTTTCTGAAGGAATGAGCTACCAGCCAAGCTGACAAAGAGAAATCTTTTTGTGAATCATTTTCTTTTCTCATGCACCTACAAAGGAAATCCTAAATATTTTCTTTAGATACATCATAGAAATTCATACCTAAAGCTAAGCAGTAATCCCTGTGAATAATTATTTATATCACTGAAGGGAAATAAACACAAGGACGGCAAACTAAACAAACTTAAATATAAACCGCGTTAAGGTTCAACACAGTAAATCATGAATAATTCTTAAAGTCAGCTCTTTAGCTGCATAGGTTACCGCATTATGCAACACATACATGTTGTGATCTTGACTAACAAAGAATACTTGCGCTTTGAACCCATTTAACAATTCATCAGCATATTATGATGAATACAAAGAACAGATATGTAATAGCAGGCAAATTCAGATATATCAGAGCATGAAAACCAAATGATAATGTGAAAAAGAAACAGTAC